GGACTACCGCCCAATCTTTCTTCTATCTTGCCACGCAAAAGTTTTGAAAAAGATTATAGCATCTAGATTATCTTGGTTTCTTGACTCCAAGAACCTGATTACAAAGCAATAAGTTGGTTTCTAGCGGAGTAGAGGGTGCATCGACGCTCTTTTACACATTGATTATTTTACAAGCAAAGCAATTTTCGAACGGAATCATTTAGCAATTCTCAATTGATTTCGAAAAAGCATTTGACAGAGTTATTTATTATTATATTACTCATGAAATCATGGAATGGAGGGTCCAAATTTTTCAACTTAATCAAGTCATACATGTCGCATTGGCGTTTTAAAGTTAGCATTAGTCTCTGATTCCTTGCCGCTAATGAATCGCATTTTACAGAGATCTCCTCTTTCTATCACGCTCTTCCAGATCGCTTTCAATGCAATTAGTAACATTCTTTGCCGTGCACCGAGAACTGAACATTGTCTCTACGTGAACGACGTATACATTTGAACAAAAGAAAAAGATAACACGAAGACAATCAACATTCTCGAATCGATTATTTATAATATTATTATATTGTTATGAAATTCGCTTTTACTAAGATGTAGTCCATATCACTGGATCGTGGATATTTTGTTCAACAGAAATACAATTCAAAGTTCTTTTATTTTACTACTTTGCCTTTCACAACCGTAGGAGTATTTATTTACAATTATATTTCTTACATGTAGGATTATGCACAATTTATTTTGACCGTACTCTCAGCTCAAATATTCTTCCCCGACTAATTCTTCCTTCCACAAATATTCTATTTATATACATTTTTACAAGCATGTTACTATATGTAAATGTATGGTTTTATTTCTAATCCCAGCCTGCATTTCCTCTAATCGTTTTCGTCGACCTGCATCTGCATGACGCACCAGCGAATATGCACTTAGCTTTTACCTGTCTGCTTGTCCGCCAATCGTTTTCATCGGCCTGCAGCTGCATGAGGCACCTGCGAATTCTCATTTGGTTTTTCCTCTTTAGGGAATTTATTATTAGGGAAAATCACTTAGCTGAAATTAACTGGATTTGGGATTTTCGTAACAACATTAATGGTAATAACATTTGTAAAATTTTAATACAAAATCAAAAAAAAACAAATGCACATTTGTAGAAAGCAGATATGTGATGCAGAAAATCGACTGATGCATATTAATAATTTATCACTACAAAATGTCCAGATTGTCAATGTTCTCAGACTCACGTTTTACAACAAATATCGTTGCAAAACACTCTGTCTTCGGCTCAAAACTTCGAATTTAACTAACGTGAATTTCATAAAATACGTTGCTTGGAAAAGCCATGCGCACAGTAACACTATTTCTTATCCTACCAAGATGCTTTTTTAAGCAAGATTGATTATGGTTTGATAATTTATGGCAATAGCTGCAAATGCAACATCAACATATTTGAACCGGTCTATCACCAAGCCCTCAGAGCAAGTTGCTATGCTTTTCGGACGACGCCAATAAATAATATTATAATTAAAACTGGTCTCCCAGCTTTAGAAAATAGACTTTATGAGTTAGAAGCTAAAATCGTCCCCAAGCTTCTAAATTCAAACAAATCTATTCCCGGTGAAGATCTTAGAAGAATTATTATTGCCAAGAAAATCACCACTTGCAATTGACTATTATTCGCCTGACAACAAAGAATTGAACATTCCCGCACAAATTTCCCGCAATTTTAACCTTAAATCTCCGCGGATTTTGAAAGACTGCCCGTTTAACATTTCGCTGTCTATGTACAAGAAAGATGACCCTCCAAAGTACGTCCTCAGAAATCTAATATCTGAAAAAACTTAAATACTTGATACTAAGGAATGCAATCTCAATATAAAGTACATTCTTTGTGACTGCCTTAACTCTTCCTTTCATAGAAGTATTGCATTTGGAGCAAGTGATCGTAAAATCAACTACACAACGCAATATCAATACACTATATTACTTTATTAAAACTATTAGACTTAATACCTAATGTTCTTTTTTAAAATAAAGTCGAATTTCTGTGTTGCTTGTGCTTAATGTTTTTTTTCTTTTTAGTCTAAGAATTTATTTCATTAGTCTAAAATTATAATATAATAATTATAATAATATATTAGTTTGGGGAAAAAGAAATCCATTATTTTTATATGAACTTCAGGACTTTATTTAACATGCTTCGGATTGTCCGATTTGGGTCAAATATGCACCGTTTTGTTGTATGATTTGTTGCCATTTTAAAGGTAACTTCAAAATGCCTCTCTCATAGAAGTCCTGGTCTCTATTTGCAAAAAACTCTGGTAATCGATTTTCACAATCCTCCCTAGATTCCATTTTTTTATCATTAAAGAAATTTTGCAATGCAAGAAAAAGATGATAATCGCTTGGTGCCAAGTCCGAACTGTATGGCGGATGCATTAAAACTTCCCAACCAAGCTCCCGGAGTTTCTGGCGAGTCACTGTAGATGCGTGTGGCCTAGCGTTGTCCTGGTGGAACACGACACCTCTCCTATATAACTTTGCTAGAACCGTTCAGCTTCATTTCAGACATATTTAAAAAAAAGGGGAATGGAGTGACTTGTTTATTGAAATATACTTGATTAATAGACACATTACATTAAGATGATGCATTTTTGTGTACAATCGTTTTTGTTCTACCATTTGGCGGATATATTATATATACAAACAATTCTGATCGCTTTCCTACACGTGAACAATCTACAGATATATGAAAATAATTCCGATTGTTTTTCAACACATGAACAATCTACAGATAATTGTCGATGTGATGAAGATGGGTTTCCAAAACCCAATCCAAAAATTTGAAGCGCCTGATCTTGAACTATGTTTTTTGTTACGGAAAATGCAAGTTGAATTAGGAATTACTTTTGAATTCAAACGACATATTTTCTGGTGCATGGCGTTAACAAATTGTTCCGTCATTCAACATTCCGACATTTTTAACGTTAACCTATTGCTGCTGCAATGAAGAAATCCATTAATGCTTCTAGGAGGAATGAGTGGAACGTCTTCTTCAAACTCCAAGTTGATGTATATGTCAGTGGGAACCAACAATACGGTTATGTTATGTTAAACATCATTTATGCTGAACTCTGTTTCAATCGATTTGTATGCGACCATTTCTTCTGAAGTCATATTTCACATGGTTTCGTTAGTTGATTGAAAATGGATATTTTTCCTATCCAAGATTGCTCTTTCACCCAACCGCTGATGATTTTTGTAATACCTTCAATATTGAGGAAAACGTCAAGAATTTGCTATTTTTCCGTATCTACGATGTTCGAGAAATCTAATAACAATGTTATGGAATCGATTTCAGTCTCAATTTGCATTTTGAAATGATCAATATAAATCTGTTGATTCAAAAAAAGTTGGTGCTGATGCATTTTGTATACACTTATTTATCATTACTTCAAACATACAGACTGAGTTTGAATTCAATGCACCGCACGTATCGTACACAGCGCACATTCATTTTATATATAATGTATATTATAATGTAAAGTCATTTGTAATTTTACGCTTTTTATTCAACTACTTTTGAGATTAAGTTCATATCACTGAATTGTGATTTTTAGAGTAGGGAAGGTTTTAGTTACAAGTCTTAGGGGATCTCTTTACAAACTATCAACAAGAAGTAATATTTACAATAATTGTTCCAGTCTTGTCGATTAGAATATTACGATTCAATTCTTTTGACTCCACTGACTTTTCCTTTCGTAAATATTCTGGTTATATACCCTTGTACAAGCAACCTTATAAACCTGTTTTTCGCTAACTGTTCTTTTCGACAATCATCAGTTGCATGAGACAGGTGCACCGTCATGAGTGTGCGTTTGGTTTTTTTTCTTTGGAATTTGGTTTCTTGGAAAATCGACCAGTTTTCTTAAAAACTGAAATGATCGTGTGTATGAGTTTTGTAATAAAGTATTTACATATATCACACCACTCAACAAGTCTTCGGTCTGACATGTACATGGCAACACTGACATGACATGGATAGTACCAACGCTCAGATGATACGCGAATGACAGAAAAGTTTCGTGATATTTGCAAACTTAGTTTGTAAGTTACATTTGGGTTAGTAACATAACTTTTTTGATCACCTTTTCATTTGCTGCTCACTTACCTGACTGCTGATTTGACTCTAGAGTGAACTAAAAACATAAAAAAAACATTAAAAAATCTTTTTTATTTTGCCTAAAGAGCCCTCTGAGTCATCAACACATTGTCTTCAAGGGGAGCAAACGGAGTCTAGACTACCCTTTCATATCTTTAAGATCTCAGTTACCTCAAGCAACTTCACTTTTTGGGTTTCCAAAATGATTTGCGGACTTTTTTAACGTTTACTGGCATAACTGCAGAATTTAGACAGCCAAAGAAAGCATTACCGATGCTCATGCGACCTTGCGTGAAATCAGAAAATCACCCACGAGTTTATTTTTTCTAGAAACGAGCAATATTTTTCAAACCAACGCTTCGCGCAACGCAACGCTGCACTGCGCTCAAAGTATATAACATTTGCTCGTGTTAACAATAATTAATTGCAAGGAGAAAGGTATTCTGAGGAAAAAAGAAATGATCTTAAGCCCTTCATGACTGCTGTTTCCATTAACAACGCAGACAGTACGTGTGGACTATATATATGTTACACATATTTCCGTCTTTCTGTGTACTGTAAATAAAGTTGCACTAATATATCATCCCCTCCGAAGGGAGTAATAGCAAAAGAACAGCTTCGTCACTAATCCGCGTAGAGGTCGGAAACCGATAAGAATGAACTTATGCATACGCTCATATCGCAAACTCATCTACAGGGTGTGTTATTTAAGATATCTTTTTCCGAACCTTGTTTACAATAACGTAACTTTTCACTGACCGCTGTATCATTTTCATATATAACATGCCCTATAACATATTTGATAACATATGATTTGATAAAATTTTGTAAACTTCATTTCTAGAATTGCGTAGCAGATTTCGCATGATACCAAAGCAAGACTTTGTCTAAACATTAAATGTTCTTTACTGTCAACAACTCGATCGTTTGAAGCTAGTGATTGACTAGAAGCGGCCAGATTTCATCAGGAGAACGCCGGGCTACAAGAGTTAGAGACTCCTCAGAAACTTCAGGAGCTTCGTTAGGAAATTTTAATGTGTCCATCATGTAGTCCAGACCTGGCACCAATTACCATGAGATACCATATATGGAGAAACATTAGGTGGATAGAGAAACAAAAGCTTAAATTAGGAGATGAGCACGATCGGTATAATCAAAAGTGAGTTAGTCTGAAATCTTTCTTCTTATATAAATCCACCTAAACTTAACCATAACCATTTTACAATCAGGAATCGTTGAATCTATATAGCGACTGGATTGTGTTACTGGTAAAATGTTGGATGACCTTTCTGCGAAATAGGTGCCCGAAATTTGATTTAATTCAAATATAAATAAATTTCAGAGTATATTAGCCTTTTTTAAAAGCTTTACAAGTCTTTACGTCATCACTTAACACTGTCGACTTACCATTGAAAAACTTGATGACATCAGTAAAATCCATGCTATTCGATAATATTATGTCGCGATAAGTTTCAAGAAGAGCCAAAGCCAAAAATAATACAAAATGACTGGAAGCTAATGGTTTGGCAGCCAAATAATTTCCTAATTAGCAAAAACATCATCATACACCAAATCGCGCTTAAAATCCAACAAGAACCAACGATAACAATAATAGAAATGGGCGTAATCACCACTGGAATTCATCATATCATACATTTGCGGGTCTAAAATTTGTATCAAGGATCTGAGAGAACGAAAGAATTTACATTTCCACATTAAATGATTTTTTCAGACCTCATATTGACAAAATGCATGTCCATTGCGTCACCGCAGGAAAATTTTCAACCATTCTTTCTATTAATTCACAAAAGCAGCTATACGTTAAACATTCATCACGAAATATAACCAATAACGAAGCTACCCTGCATATAACCAACATCTAAGTGCTTCCAAACGTAACTAAGGAGGAAACAGAGAAATTTTCACATCTTTGCACAAATTATCAGAAAACACTTACGTGGAAATAATATTGTGCAATTTATCGCGCAATATTACTGGTTGGCGAAATACCAATAATTACGATCAACGTTGTGGAACATCTTTCTCGATGCGCTGCAAGTTTAAGCCAAATTTTTCTAAAAGTTTACTCTGAAAAACATAGAAACAAAATGTTCTTCATTTACAAAACCGTTCATATCATGAAAAACCACACATACACTGTAAAATCCTGCGTTCGAACTCCCGGGTGATAGACGCGGTGACTATGGCTCTTGCAATAAGTCTATTGCTATGATGACTGACTGATACAGTGAAGTCAGTGGTTTACATTCCTCTGTAGAGCTACGTTCCCGGTGCAAAACGTCCACTGAGTGCTTCGTTGTAATGACGTTCGTTTGTCGTTTGACAGCTATCTCTGTTAATTCTATTGATACTTTCTTTTTACCCCCATTGCCATCGCTATTATTATCGCTATCCTTGTCTTCTTCTAATTGCTGCAGCATATCATCAGCACTTAGATATTCGGGACTAACCACCTTTTTATTGTCAATATATTTACTTGCTAACATTTGCATTGGTGAGGTGTTTTTAACGATTTGGTAGCCGTTACCAACAATATCGTAGGATGAGATCGATGGATTACTTTTGGTGCTACCATTAACATAACAAAAGATTTTAAAAAAATTCTATTTCGATATTTTTAAATATTTTTTCCATTAATTAACTTATTATCTTTCTCATTTTCTTCCTCAGTTTCCACGTTTAAATCTTCTTCAATATGGCCAGTATCGGTGCTAGTCTTCATAGCTCTTGGTATAGTTTTAACCGTTAAGTAATCATTGCAAGTCGCCGGAAGAATTTCGGCTGCCGTTGTTGCCGTTGCTGTTGTTGTTCTTCCACTTCGCAACCTAGATCTTCTAGATTGGGTAAATCGGAAATATCTGCAAATACTTCATTTTCTAAATATCCAATATTTACATCAAGAACCGCATTAACAGTTTTATTTTGAGCACTATTACTTTCAGAAGTTAGTTTGGCTACAGCTCGTGCGGTTTTCTCCTTTTCTTTTTGTTGAACTATAGCCTCTACGGCCAACCATTCATTCATTACCGTTTCTTAAAAGTGACGGCAAGTTTCATCCTGCTGTTGACGTTGTTCCAAAGATGTACCGAAGCTGGAATTAATGAAAATAAAAAAGCTTTGTATGTATGACAAATAAATCTAGAATGCTCGTCGCCCATGACTAATATATGAATATTAAAAAATATTTGGTCAATTCAAGACAAGTCATTCAACTCGATCATTTACATTAAATTTTTATACATCCCTAGTTATATATTGTACTAAATTTTAGACAATTAGCGGTTGTAGATTGTACATTTGAGTTCTTCAGATGTCACTGGCATATTTAATGGCGGCTTAAACCCATTTTGAAATCAATTTCGAGCATTCTATTTCACTTTCTGAGTCATGAGGAATATAAAGAATAGCACACAAATAAACTTAATACCTTAAATTATTTAATATACAATCACATCATGAAATCTTTAATTCTTGATTGATATTCTAGTCGAATTAAAAAATTTAATGATTAGTATAAAAATTAAATTTTTCATTTTTCTGTCATTTGAACCACTCACCCTTAGTGACCTAATAGATAGGGCCAAACATCTTTACGTAGTTCTGGGTTAACGCCACCATAGTAAACTAAACGAAATACTTCAGTTGCGTTATCTACCACACCGTTTTCAAAATTCAATTGCTTCCATTTCTCTAAGGTCAAGCCATCTTCATCCAATTTTACTTTCAAAAAAAGTGCGAAAATTGTTTTTAATATATTTTATTCTCTTTTATCTTTTGGACACAAATATACTTTCTGGTTCGTACAGCTGACAAATGTCTAAAGTAAGCCATCCAATCATAAAAGGGTCGGGATATTATTTGGCGTCTTATATTAGAACAAGCCATTTCAATACTTGCGTTTTGATGGTTGGAACTCTAGATTATACAATTAATTGCAACTTAAAATTCATTTAACTGATCTTTATTTCGAACGGACCATTGAGGATTGCACTGAATAGTCATCTATTGAAATACTTTTACTAGTACAATTGCTAGTGGAACAACTATTCGGTGCACTGGGTACGAAGTCCAATACTGAATGAGTAGCTACTGCAATTTTTATTTAAAAACGTTTTAATATTCATCTATATATGTATGCTTCCAAAAATTTCTTAAATTCTAGGGAAACTTACCAAGTTCCGCATGTTTGCTCTTACTAACTATACCGATGGCAGAATATGTTTGCGTACACATTTCGGTGAAGATATGAATTTGCCGAGGCCGCGTTGTGATCAAAGCGGTGGATCTAGTTCACCATTAGGTAATAAGCCAGTTTCCAGGCAACTCAGAAACTCTTGTATATGACCGCCTTCTGGAAAAATAATTGTGCCACCGCTGTCTTCACATTTATTTTGGTGACAGTGAACGTAAACTATGTCATCAACATTAATATTTAATGCATAAACCCATTATCTCTCATCTATGTTTACATCCTGATGGTTGTTCATTAATTGGTTTGGTGTCCATTTAATGGTTAATGATTGAGTATGTTGATGTAAACTCACATAATCCATCATGGGTTCCTTACAATCTTTCTATGAAGCAAAAAGGATTTTTAATATTGCCATCCTTCAGAATTTCCCAAGAATCGTTTGCTCACCGGTAAGACTTGTACATTGTTTTCCCCCTACAATAAAATTGCGCGGGAATTCTGATGTAGCGATTCATCATAATCTTTAGCAACACCAGAGGAAGCCAATGATTTAAAGGTAGGAGCATTTGCCTCATCTGTACCAGTGTTTAAGCTGCGTTTTAAATTTTTTATGGGCGATCGTGATGACACCGAAGACGATCTCCTGCCTTCCCTAATGCGATGACGTTGTACCTACAAAATCATTTAATTATATATTCTCTACTATGATTAAACTTTGCTGCTTTCTTGGTTACCAGTCCATCGGCATGCAAATCGGTGCAGTAGTACTCAGCTCTTTTACCTTTGGTAAATTCCAAAGCACTTAAACCGGCCAATAATGAACTTAATATGCAGCCGTAATCATTATTTGCCACAATTGAGTCTTTTTTATTATAAAACTAGCATTGGCAACTAAATATTCAACAATCATTATTAACCGTTTTTCGTACAAAGCCAAACGAATCAATAAGTATCTAAAAGAAAATGAATCAATAAGTGAAAATTAAATTATTTTTGAAAGTCTGTTTACTTCATGGACATCAATGAAGAACATAAACAACTACTGCTCGTAGTGCCGCTAATTGATACAGAGCTGTTCTTTTTAAGCATGGGTGGTCCATTGAAACTCCCACTACTCGACGAGGAACGTTTACTAGGATCATTATTTTCAAGCTCTTGCAGAATTTTACTAATGTGTTCCGCTTCCGGGCAATATTTTGAAATTTTATGGAATAAAGCTATAGTTCAAGACGTTTTAAATAAACCTAAAACTCGACGTTTAAGACCTTGACTCAAACACGTTTCAACAGCAACACAGAGCTGAGTAACTGTACTGCGTTCATAAACGTATTTTCGGGTTACAGCCTCTTCCATCAATTGTTTGATTGCCTTTCTAACGGCCGCCAATAAATGCTCTTGAAGTTTAGTTTTTGCGTAATGAAGAAAAACAAGTAAATAACATATTAAAGTAACATAAATTTTAATCTCCACTGAAACCAACATATGTGACGAAAAGAAAGTCAAGTGAAATTGCATTAGAATTTTATTCATTTATGAAAATTCATGGTGAGATGAATGGTTTCTAGCACAATTTTGTTCACTTTCATAATGAGTTGTTTCAACAACGAAAAAAAAATCACAACAAACCACATAATAGATTTGAACCTTTACAAAAGTTAGGCAATGACGCTATTACGAAATTACTTTAACTCCTAGAGAGAAACACCCGTTAAGTGCATATTTTATGCTGTTGTATGTATTCACCTGCGGAACAATGGCTACTCTGGAATCTATAAAACTAACACCACGTAATGAATTATAAGAAGCCAAGTAAGCCACCTGCAGAATTTATAAACTCATTATTCTATGAAATTCAAGCCTATTAAAAGAAAGAGGTACATATTTGCTTGAATGACTCCGCAGATGAATTAACAATTAAACCGATAGTGAAAACTTTCAAAGTTTCTAACTCCTAGATACCACATATAAAACTTATTAGAACGAGACTGCAAAAAACCTGGATTCTTTTAGATGCAGATGGACTTGTTTTTGTGCGGTACTTTCCTTATGGGCTCTTTATTAGTGCGATTGGAGTTAGACGACCCATCTTGCTTGTACAGTTTGTGATTTACTTCTTGCAACCCTGTACACCGCAGCAAAACAGGCTTCTCTATATACTATGCAATTAAATTTCTAAGTCGCATTGTGTTTAAAATCAAAATAAACAGGTAAGACATTATAGTCCGGCAAGGCTGACTACTGGATACCCTGTACCACTTAGATTAGTGCTGTTGTTCGCTCGTTTTAGTAAGATTTACACGCTATTTTTATGTAAAAGGATGCTTTTCATGGAGGT